AAGAGAAAGACAGAGATGAAGAAAGAGAGTGGAATTGACAAGGAAAAGGAGAATAACACGAGAAAAGAAAAGCAGTGAGAAACGAATATAAAGAAAAAGCGAAGAAAGGCAGAGAATGAGAGTGAGAAGTCAAAAGAAAAAAAAAACATCCAGTTTCGGAGCCATTGATGCCAGCTTATAATGTTTGAGAGCAACAGAATTTCGGCTGATGATTTTCAATATAGACAAACTCACTCCACTTCCAGGAGGACATATTTCGTGTAGATCGCCTTCCAATTATGCTTTCGATGTCCTTGAAAATATTTTCATTAAATCAAAAATCTTCCTTCTACAAGGAGAAGTATTAGTAGTTTGTGATTTGTTTAGAAAAATATATCCTTCTCAATACACTATTGATAAAAAATGTAGTGTTTGTTTCTTTAAAGATGATTTTGAACTTATAACTTAGTTTCGATAAGTCCGTCACAAATATGGCGACGTTCGTGGTCAGGATAAAATTAGCATTTAGTTACTATATACGCATTCCAAACTTTTGGTTTAAAAATAAGAAAAACGCTTATTATACTACAATAAATACTATTATGGAACTAATGTACAGAGTTCTTAATAACTGAAGGTCAAGAGATTTTCTCAATAATTATCTTCCTGAGGATTAATAGAAGGGGGTTAAAAAATAATTTAAAGTTTCAGAAAGTGTGAAATTAATAAACATTGTGGACTTAAGCTTGGGAGGTGGGAAAATCTTCTTAAAAAAATTAAGCATCTTCATCCCAAGGACATAATATATTGGACAGAAAGGAGAAAAAAAATGTCTTATCAGTAACAAAAATTGGTGCAATACAAGCGGAGAGATCTTATTACAGGTCCCAGAAAGGAGAAAGAAAGAAAACGTAGTGACAGAGAGACGAGAAAGATAAAGAATAAAAATAAAAAAAGAAGAAATTTTGAGAAAAGGACATGCTAAACTTAGAGAACATAAAAGACTAAAAATATATAATGATATTGCAAATAACCCCAAAAGATATTAAAAACGTGAAGCTAGGAAGAGAAAAAAAGTTGGTAGCAGGAGACAAAGAGACGCTTTCGTGGGACGCATTTCTATTTGTTTTCATGAGAAATTCTCTGGTTTCGTTTACGTTCCGAATACAATCAACCACTGTTACGGATTCTGGTTTTCCCCCTGCTCCAGTTTCCTATTCTTTACCGCAGAGATCCGTGCTTAGTATAACCTATGTTTTCTGACTTTTTTCCCAAGACCTTTCCCACCCCACGATCCATCGTTGACCCCCCGACTCTCTCAGTTGTTTCCCTACCCCCAACCCAAGCGCTACTCTCAGCGACAACGTCCCAGGTACATTCATCCTTTCGGCTACCGTTCGATTTCTTTGCCACGCACCCCAACCACCTCCCAACACCGCTCCACTTCGCTTAAAGCTGACGTCTCCATTTTCACTTCTCGTTACAGCACCACAATCTCTACAAATGTTTTACTTTTCAATTTTTCTTTCATTCCTAATTCTGAGATATATATATATATATATATATATATATATATATATATATATATTATATATATATATATAGACCACTTTAAGGTACCATTATAATAATTTATTTCACAGAGCCCTTTAAAAAAACCGGGTCATCAGATAGCAAAATGAAAAAAAAATGAAAATTTCATTTTTTGGAAGTGCTATCTGATGATCCGGCGTCCTTTAAAAGGACTCTGGTGAAATAAATTATTATAATGGAACCTTAAAGTGGTCTGTTTTTCTTTTAAATATTAGCTCTGGATTTACATTGAGCTCTCAGGATTTCATCCTCCTTGGGTTTACCCATACGGATTACCAAGTTCTTCATAAACTTATATATATATATATATATATATATATATATATATATATATATATATATATATATATGACTTACGGTCATATCACGGCGAAACACCGGCTCTTGTACGAATTTAAGCAACGTACGTAGATGGGTGACCTCTTGGGAATACCAGGTGCTGTCAGCTTTGATGTACGGGTGATATAAAGGATAACGGCTCTAAATTGGAAAACGGAGAGCCGAGTTCCAGTTCTAGTTGGGTTCGTATTATTCCCTTACACGCGAACACACTTGGGCAAATTATGTACCACCTCTTCTTTCTGCAACTATGAGTTAATTAGTAGGACTTGTATCAGAAAATTATTATTATCTCCGCCAAATTCTTACAATGTAAAATATATTTTTTTAACTTTAAAATAACCGGCAAAACGTTGATGAGCCTTAAAAAAAGAAATCAATGTAATATATACAGAGAGAGAGAGAGAGAGGGTAGTCAATCCCTATTGCAGACGCTCGCTCAACACCCACAGATCCCACCTGTGGTTTATACTGTAATGTTGAGTAAACCTTAGTTACAGTTTCTGGGAGAGAGTGTCTTATCTAGCGGGATCAATGGTAGCACGCTCAAGCCCTCGGCCACGATGACTTGTGGCTTCGTGCTAGCACAGCTATCGACAAGCCCACACGAGTTCCGTCTACCCAATTTCACTTACAAGGTTTGGGTTACCCGTAGTATGGTTTTCAGCCACTTTCCAAAAGTACCGTACGCTGGGTCGACTTCGATCCAATCCGATATATATATATATATATATATATATATATATATATATATATATATATATATATATGAATTGGTTTATTATATGAAGTAGTTGCGTACTATACAAACTGTTTAAGTGGTTCATTCATGTTCTATTAATAACTATTATTAATAATAACTAATTTTAATACTAGTACTTCGAAGCACAGTTTTTTTTTTGTTTTATTAATGTTCACTCAAAACAAGACCCAAGAGCCATTCAAGGTAGAGTGTTACTGTGTGGAGTTGTATTAGCAACATAACGGGAAACGTAGAGAGCTAATTCTAAACTTGAAGTAATCAAGATTTAATTAGCGAATAAAATAAAAGAGTTCAGGCGGAGACCTTTGGAATATACAGTTGCAGCAGACTCTAAAGGGGACCGGAAAACCAAGCCTACACCGGAAAAAAGGGATGAACCTCTACTCTTATTCAAAAGACCGGGGTGGAGTGTATACCGGACGATAGGTAAACCTTCGGTTTAGCAACACATGACATGTGTTGTATCAAACTAAAGATATAATTTCTTTTCAAAAAGCATGCATTTTTTTTTCTGTGGAAAAAAACAAGTGAAATTCTCTGCGTGTGTGAGGTTACTGTCAGACGTTGAAGGCGGAGTGTTTGTCATGGTTTGCTCTTCAAAGCTAGGCCACTCTAAGCACTGGTTTTTGTAATCTTTATTACCGGAAGTTATAAGATGCGCAGGTCTGCCACCTTGTTACTGCCTGCCTTCCCTCTCATCTGAACTTTTTTTTTTTTTTTCTGAGAGGGATCTCATGAGAACAGAGTTATTCCGCGCGCTCTCTTCTTGATCCTTGACTTGAATTTTGGATCGCGAGACTAGGCAGTGTTTCGCAACACATACTATAACGGACCGGCTTCTGATTTACCCTTTGAGTCAAAAGGAATTTTCGGCATGTCTTTAAATATTATGAACTCTTTCTAATGAAAGTCGTTGGTGAGTAATCCAAAATAAAAGCTAGGATTTTGACGAATTTTATTAGTTTTTCATATGGCTGATTGTACGATGAAGTTCACTTTCGTTACCCCTGGCTTCTTAGGCAGTGCTATGAAAATGAATCTATTTAGGTCTTCCGGTATATCACCTTATTTGTATAATACAATTATCATGCATGTAATCTTGTGAACACTGAAATCACCTAATGCCGTCAGCAACTCCATTATAATTACATCTGGTCCTGCTACTTTGTTTCTGTATAATTTGGTCAGTGCTGATTTCAATTCAATTCAGATTTAAATATTTTTGCTCAATTCTATTGGAAGTGATTTTATTGGATAAATTTATTCTTTAGTATTTGAAGATATTTTTTTGTAACTTCTGAAAATATGTACCTGTTAAAATGAAATATCAGTATTATTTTCATTTTTGCGATGACAATTTATCCATCGTACCCAATATATATATATATATATATATATATATATATATATATATATATGTATTTAACAATTATTGCTACTAATATGTTTTGGGAATTTGACCAGTTGACATTGATTAATATATCGACAATTCTCCAGTTTTTGTAGTGACCTGATATTCAAAGAGCACGAAAAACAACAGTCAGATGTATATTTTTTTAGGAAATAATTGTTTATCGCGATGAAATAAGCTGAAATTTTGTGTAGCACCCTAATGTATGTGTATATATATATATATATATATATATATATATATATATATATATATATATATATATATATATGTATGTATATGTGTGTTTGTACTGTCAGAAAATTCAATGTCGTGTCTTGCATGATTGCTTTTGACTTTTCAGCTACAGTTCGTCTCGTCTTGTAGTTGTGAAATGTTGCATGAACGTAGACAATGAAAAAAAAATAGGTGCAAACACGTAGTAATCTGTATTGAGATGCGAAGAAACATTTGCGTAAATGATAGACGTATTCAGAATCACACGTTTCTACAGGAAGATGATATTAAAAAAGGGGGGGAGGCACTCGTACTTACGGCTGTGCGGGTAACTATTCGCATCTACACGCATTTCCAAATCAGATGTGCACGCAGCAAAGTACACATGTAGAGAGTAGAGCGTGTTTTCTCATTCACCAATGCCCACGTATCAGTTTTATTGAAAGCTTATATAACTTACTTTCCAATACTGAACGCTACCACTGAAGGTAAGCACAGAAGCCATAAACATCGAGATTCAAAACAAAATGCCAAAAAGGAACACTATTTTTTTAAAAAAATATTCGAAGAAAAAATCCAAGCATAAATATGAACGTGTAATTTTATTGATTATATATATATATATATATATATATATATATATATATATATATATATATATATATATATGTATTTTTATTTATTGTTAATTTTTTTCAGCTTCGCCCCACACCTCCCCACCTGACGTCAGCAGCCGCGGAAGGTATCCTAGCAACGGCATGTGAGAATGAGAGCAATAATGCTAAGCGGATGCGAATGGGGTTGGAACCGCTGCCCGTAAGTGCAAATTATATTACAATAAACGGACCTCCCACTCCTAAACTTTCGCCACCTCCTACTTCGACATTGAACCTTACTTTTCCTTAACCTGCCTCTCTTTCACACCTTCTCACTAGTTTTTTTTTTTTTGTTTATTTTATTTTTCTCCTTCATCTCTTCCTTCTCATTTCATAAGCGCCATTTCTACTCTTCTCTTTTCTCCAACTCTTCAGCACTATTTTTTCTCATCTTCTCCCTCCCTCATCCTCCTCTTTCTTCGTTGTTCTAACCGCCTTCACTTTCCATCAAAATTTCGATCTCCTCTTCTTCAGCACTTTCGTAGCCATTTAGAAAGCTCAGCGTAAAGTGGCACAAGGTCCCTGCATCGAGACACACACAGCGACCGAAGGCATAACATAAACAGCAAATTTGATTCCAGTTAAGCTATCGCATTATGGCAGACTCATATATTAATTTGTTCGGAAAATAATGTCAGATTTTAGAATAAACATTTTAATTGTGCTCTAATATATTAGGTTGTTCAGAAAATAATGACTAATTTTAGAATAAACCTTTTATGCTATATTAGGTTGTTCAGAAAATAATGACCAATTTTAGAATAAACCTTTTATGCTATATTAGGCTGTTCAGAAAATAATGACTTATTTTAGAATAAACCTTTTATGTTATATCAGGTTGTTCAGAAAATAATGACCTATTTTAGAATAAACCTTTTATGTTATATCAGGTTGTTCAGAAAATAATGACCAATTTTAGAATAAACCTTTTATGTTAGGTTGTTCGGAAAATAATGACCTATTTTTGAATAAACCTTTTATGTTATATTAGGTTGTTCGGAATATAATGACCAATTTTAGAATAAACCTTTTATATTATATTGTTCGAAAAATAATGTCCGATTTCAGAATAAACATTTTAATTATCTTGTAATATATTAGGCTGCTTACGATTAAAGTGACCTCTTTGATAATTTTATATGAATCTTATTAAGAATTTAACTTAAAATACTATATACCTGAAAAGAAAAACAAGGAGAGATGCGTTTACTTTTTGCATGAGTTCAAGCGCGCCCAATGCTTCTTAAACTACTGTTAGCATTACCATAGTATGCGATGAATGACCAACTGGCGCTGGTTTCTGAAGTCCCTCAGATGGGATACGAGCCTTGAAGATCAGGTTGGTAGAGGACGTTCATCTGCACTTGAAAATCAACATCTGAAAACACTAGTCGAAAACAAAAACCCACGAATCATAAGATGTCACAGATAACAGGTATCAGAATTTTAACAATATCAGGTTATCTCAAGAAAATTGGCAAGGTAAAATAAATGAGAGTCAAAAGGTTCTATATTTTGAAGTGTGTTCGATGCTGCATCTGTGATATCGAATGATCCATTTTTTTTTATTAATTACTGAATCCTTTCTGAGTAACGTAAACGTCTTTATCGTTTACCAACAACACCCAAAGTATCCCAAAACTTTTCAAAACCGAAATTGCACTAACAGATCTTGATGCCTGTTTGGTGGTCCAACGCTGGCTTTATCCATGAGAGCTGTCTGGAATCTAAGCAGAGCATCAGTAGCTAAGCTCACTGCCAACAAATGGATGAAATGCATATTCATTTATGCAAAATGTCACTAGCACTATGAATCGACGAGTTTCAATTCTGCTCCATGATATTGCTCGGCCACATGTCGCCAGGATGACACTTCAGAAGATCACTAGTTGGGACACGAGACTTTGCCACATCCACCATATTTCCCTGATCTTTCACCCACTGACTACCGATTTCTCAAGGATTTTGACAATTTTTTTTATGCCAGAAAACATGGCGTTTCATAGAATTCACAGTTGGATTGGCTTCCAAACTTCTAGAGTTTTCGTATAAAAGCACAAATAATCTTGTAAATTGATGACAGAAATGCATACATGTTCAGCGTTCCTATTTTGACTGATTTAAATACTGTTTAAATACATTAATTCGGGAATAAAAGTTGATTCTAAAATCAGACATCATTTTTCGAACATCCTAAGAGATTAACAAATTTCAAATCTAAATTGTTTGTCAATTTACGATAATATGATTATTAGAAAATAAATATATTTAATATACACAGACGAAGATAAAGAGCTGACTTCAGAGGACTTCATATTTCGACTTATATTCATTTCTTGTTAACTAGAGTTGTTACCAGACAGGGAAACTAACCTTTGCGACGCAGATGTGTATGTCAGTTACATTAAAATTGTGTATGTACTTTTGCTTGTGTACATACCTCAAAAGATTTCTGCAAGATTAAAGAAAATTTAATAAATAATTTTATTTGTTCACAAATAATTCCCAAAAAGTTTAATAAAATCTCACGATTAATTGATCTTAATTCCGGAATAAAAGTTGAATCTAAAATCGGACATTATTTTCCGAACAACCTAATACTTATATTTACTAAGTTTAGCTTATCTGGCGCAAGGATATAAGAGTGGGTGCTCAGAGACGAGGAAACAAATCATTACTTATAGGTATAGAGGGTAGGAAGTTGTGGAGAGCAATGATCGCAGCCATCCTGAAGGGGCGACGTATATAAATGAATAATAAGATACTAGCCACTACATTGCTGCCTATGGATATGTAATAGGCGAAGCTTAAGCTATTCTGATACAAGGCAGAAAGAAAAGGAGATTGTATAGCGCCAATGTTCCACGTGTAAGATAAAGTTACAACCCAAATTCCATTTTTGAGTTCGGTTTGTATATCAACCACTGATGCCTGTTGGAAAAAGGCAATTGTCTCTTTTGTTTGATAAGCTTAGTTTTTTTTTTTTTTTTTTTTTTTTTTTTTTGGGGGGGTCGACTTAAATTTAGAAAACTATTCTAATTTTTAAGGAAAGAATTCGCGTCTTCCTAACCATTGTACTATTTGTCTGACATTTATATTAAAGAATTCGTGAATCCCCAACACAATATCTTTTTTTTATATATAATGATCCTTTACTTTACGAATTTTCTTTTTTTTTTCTTTTTTTTCCTCTCCCCCTATATTTACTGAAAATTTTAACCCATTAACTGTAGCAGAAATTTTCGCCATGCGAAGTTGAGTCACAGAGTTGTAACGATAGAAGTTAGTCATTGGCAGTAAACATTCTAATGATTATTTGTGATTTTCCCCTCTTCAAAAAAGCTATTTCACCATCACAACCGCCATTACAAGTGGTAAACAAAACATTTGAATGATACAATCTGGAAATTGCATTAGAAAGTTTCTGTCGTTCAAGGGAGCCTACTCATACATACAACTATCAAAGTTACAAATTCACTTATATTTTTCTTGACAAATTTTACAAATCACATTTTTAGGATTTATTCGATGGCTTAGATGGTTACGTATTTCTACCGATGAAAAGATGAGCGTTTGATATCCAAAATCAGGAGTGTAAATGCTAATTTTCATTTCAAATATGATCTTCTTATTCACAAATGTATCAATGACCGCTTGACCCAGTGCTGAAATAAAGTGACTCTGTTTTGATATTTTGTTTCCTGCATAATATTTTAACAAATCTCTTTTTATTTCCATTCTCTTTTTCTTTAATAATCGTTTTTATTGACTTTGGTTAAAGATTTTTTTTGTATAACATTTTTCTGGGCTTTCTGACAATTTTCAGTACACTATGGAAAATAATAATTATTTATCCTCAAACAATGTCTCTTCACTTTTCACAACAGAATGTCAGTTTTTTTTTTTTTTTTTTTTTTTTTGTAATTGACCATTTTCAAAACAAGTTCATATATTGTCAAACTCGTAAAAATCTTCAGTAAATGTATCATTGGACGCGTGGCCAAGTTTGTCAGAACGTTAGGCTCCGAATGTCACCGGAGCCGACTTGTCAAAGGTTAATATTTGCCTAGGGAGATGATCCTAGTGTGTGGTATTGTTAGGAAGTACCTGTAAAATATACGACAGTTTTTCTTGTGAGTGAAATAGAAAAGACGTAACTCTTGGTAAGTCGTCTGCGGTTATTCTTGTACGAAATCATAAGGGTTCAACTTGTAGTCACACCAGATTATAAGTTTTCCCCACAAAACTGGCACTGATAACCACTCAGCTTAGTTGCAGTATAAAACACATGTTGGTTGTGCGGGTGGAAAACAAACCACAAATCTGTATTCAGTAGGGATTATCTGATCACTCTAGCATGTAGGCATACTCGAAAACAGGCAATGAAACTGAATCTTTTACCTATGTTCCGAGTTTACTGGTCTTCATCAACTAATTATCAGTCCAGATGATGCGCTCTCTTCAAGAAGTTGTGTCTACGGTCAACTCAGCTCAACGTCGTTGCAGTATAAACTAGAGATTGGTTCTGTGGATGTTGACCATCATATATATATATATATATATATATATATATATATATATATATATATACAGAACTTATACAGAATATATATATATATATATATATATATATATATATATATATATATAGAACTTATACAGAATATATATATATATATATACAGAATATATATATATATATATATATATATATATATATATATATAATTATACAGAATATATATATATATATATATATATATATATATATATATATATATATATATATATATATATATATATATATATATACAGAACTTATACAGAATATATATATATATATATATATATATATATATATATACAGAATATATATATATATATATATATATATATATATATATATATATATATATATATATAATATATATATATATATATATATATATATAGAACTTATACAGAATATATATATATATATAGAACTTATACAGAATATATATATATATATACAGAACTTATACAGAATATATATATATATATATATATAGAACTTATACAATATATATATATATATATATATACAGAATATATATATATATATATATATATATATATATATATATATATATATATATATATATATATATACAGAACTTC